ATGCTGTCTGTCAAATTAATTCAAACTAACAATAAAAGTGTAATATGAACAAAACGAATACCGTAAACTTAAAATAATAGCCCGCAGGTTTTTTTTTTCCTATATCGTTGAAATGCACCAGCTTGTTTTTGAGACAGGCGTCTATGAGATGGTCTTCATCATTTAGTGTTGAGATGTTTTCCATTGAGTCTGTGATCTCTAAAAATCTCCAAATGCTTAACGTGAAACTGCGGTCTTCCGACCTTTTACTATCGTGTCAAATGATTTGAATAATATGCGGAGAAAGAGAGCAAAACAGCGCTCGCTTGTGTTGTTTGAAGACGTGAAAGTGCGCGCGGCTGCGGCACAACACATTTTCTGGAGCAGGTATACTGCCCCCATCTGTTATGGAATATTTTTTGATTTTTAGTTCCAGATGGCACCTTTAAAAATGATTCATACAATTAATCTGTGTACAATTACCCAAAAACCATAAAAAAATAGCACTACAAATATTTAAGTCATTTATACACACCCATGTTTTATCAATTTCTTTCCATTGTCACTTAGCTTTGGCTTCAAGCAACATTCACATTGGGAAAGATGTGTAATGAAGTCTGGATATTTTAAATTTCCTGTCTATATAGAGCGCTTTAAATCACTCACGTACTGTATGTAGTTTTTTTTAAACACAGAAGTCGAATGTTCAATTCAAGCTTGAAAATGATAATTCATTGAACACTCACTCGATTTAATGTCTCCCTTTAAAGGATCTAACTCAGGGGCGAAACTTGTGGTAAAATATGTACCGTTTTATCAAGATGACTTTCTGAGGGTGGATGGAAAAGACATCAAATGCTTGGACAGTTCAGTCCATATATTCTTAGTTTACAGATATTTATGTTTCCATTCAAGCAAATTGACTGTATTTTTCCCTGATAAACCAGCAAAACACCAAACAAAGATTTGTTTTCAACCACATTTATCATTTTAGGAGTTTGGACTTCGGTGGGCTTAGTATGCAGTTGTAATGTAGTTTTTTTGTGTTTTTAACGATACAATCAGTACATAACATGCGTAGTTCAACATTGACTTTCTTTTCTTAAATTGTCCGACATTAAAACGTTTCTTGAGTTTAATTGCCTCTGGATTAAATATAATCGAGGCTGCTTTTGAGGAAATTGTTACCCGACTCTCGTTATGTTATAACGGCTCCCTGAGGCTGAAATCTTAAAGTTTTCACTACACTCAGAATCACTCAGACGACCTCTGCTTTCTCATTTTTTTATTTTCTGTTGCTTGCGTTGGAGTTTCTGCCAAGTGTGTGTCTGTGTGTCCAGCGTTCTGTGTTTGCCGTACAATTATAATCAGATTGGAGTCTCTCATTTTTCATTACATAACAACAGCTTTTCCTCCATCTCAGTTATTTCCAGCACTTTTGTTTTTGTCTATCAGAAATGAGTTTTCCACGACGCCAGTTCTTTCCCTTTAGAGAAAAAGAGTTTCAAAAACCGCAGATGAAACTTGACCTAGTGCTGTCCTGACATCCCGTGACCTCAGATGACCTCTCATTTTCTCATTCTTTCTGAGTCTGGTGTTCATTTACACTTGGATTAATATGAACACCATACTAAAACTGTGTTTGACCCCCTTTCACTTTCAGAACTGCCTTAATTCTACATGGCATTGATTCAACAAGGTGCTGAAAGCATTCTTTAGAAATGTTGGCCCATATTGATAGGATAGCATCTTGCAGTTGATGGAGATTTGTGGGATGAAGTTTCCGTTCCACCACATCCCAAAGATGCTCTATTGGGTTGAGATCTGGTGACTGTGGCGGCCATTTTAGTACAGTCAACTCATTGACATGTTCAAGAAACCAATTTGAAATGATTCATGGTGCATTATCCTGCTGGAAGAAGCCATCAGAGGATGGGGACATGATGGCCATAAAGGGATGGACATGGTCAGAAACAATGCTCAGGTAGGCCGTGGCATTTAAACAATGCCCAATTGGCACTAAAGGGCCTAAAGTGTGCCAAGAAAACCATTACACCACCACCACCAGCCTGCACAGTGGGAACAAGGCATGATGATCCATGTTCTCATTCTGTTTACGCCAAATTCTGAATGTCTCAACAGAAATCGAGACTCATCAGACCAGGCAACATTTTGTCCAATTTTGGTGAGCTCTTGCAAATTGTCGCCTCTTTTTCCTATTTGCAGTGGAGATGAGTGCTACCCGGTGGGGTCTTCTGCTGTTGTAGCCCATCCGCCTCAAGGTTGTGTGTGTTGTGGCTTCACAAGTGCTTTGCTGCATACCTCGGTTGTAACGAGTGGTTATTTCAGTCAAAGTCGCTCTTCTATCAGCTTGAATCAGTCGGCCCATTCTCCTCTGACCTCTCGCATCAACAAGGCATTTTCGCCCACAGGACTGCCGCATACTGGATGTTTTTCCCCATCTCAAGGATTGTATCTGGGCCACTGATCATTAGTGGCTATCCCAGAAGTGTCCAAACCTAAATTAAACACGTCTGAACCAGCTAATCAAGGTCTAACTAGGCATATTAGAAACTTCAGACAGTGGCCTGTAGAGAATCGAGGCGAATCAAACACAACTTAATCAAATTAATCTCTCATGGGATTAATTCACATGGCTTCAACACTCCAAGTTCTGGAGCCCACATTCCAGAGTCACGGAACGACTCCGTGCTGTCTGCAGATAAGGACTTTTATTGCCCCACAGGCCCAAGAGAGGGGCACTAAACAGGACGAACGTGTCAATATGGTAATGTTTTACTGAGACAGGTCAGCTCCAAAATGGTGGAACGAGAAGCTCACAACAAAGACTCTTTGATCCCCTGACAGAGATGTTCCACAGAACACCTTTGCCTCGTCCCCCTTCGAGTTGAACTCTCAGTAACCTTACGGTTGAGATCGAAGATCTCACACATAAAATAATATGAACTCACCACAGAACAATTCTTGGACCTATAACCAATCATAATTCTTGTTGTTCCTACACTTCATGTGTATTATGCTTAGATCACATAATAACCATGTAATTGTTGTTAACTATTAACTCTTGTAATTGTTATACAACCATTAGAAGTGTGAATGCCTCGTTTGCTCTTAAACGAACCGTATTCTCGTAATTCAAAAGATGGCTTGATTGAAATCTGCGTAAAAGGTTTTGTTTTATGATTATAATAATCATAAGGTTTAAACGATGGTCTTTTGTCTCTGCTAAGTGCTGGAGACCAGCTCACAGACCATGCATAAATTATGATAAGTAAAGAAGTAGATCCGCCTCCAATTGGCCAGAAGCTTCTTGGAGGTTGGACTAGAGTTTAAGTTAAAGATCCGAACAAAGGACCTCATGATCAGATTTTTGTAGATTTTAGAAGATTTCAGGTGATTTTTGTTCTGTTCTGTAACTGTTAAGTCCGTGCCTCTCTCTAAAACCAGCAAGAGAGTGTTCTGTTTGTGCTTATCTCTGGAACAAAGAACGTGTTCGCATGCTTCTACATCGACTAGACCAAATTCGACCAGCAGACGAATAACCCATCAAGATCAGGGTTACAATTCAGCTCAGTCAAGCCATCCGACTCGCCTTACTTTCATTTCTTTCCTTTATTTCCTTTTTCGTAAAAGTCTCGTTTCAAAGTTAAGTTTGCAACGCGCTTCGAACTGGAAAAGACTCTCATTCGCTTGCTAATCACACGTGACCAGCGGCGAAACTTCCATCCCTGCACTTCAAAGACAACAAACCACGCAACGGACCCGGCCGGGAAACCCCCCTTCGACGCGACGCAGACAAAGGGAATTCCCTCAGCCACTACAAAGCGCAAGTACTCCAGGCTCTAACTGAACTGGTGCTTTAATGTTAATTGAATAACCTCTCTAAGAAATGAAGGTTCAAATTAATGCTTGGTGGTCCTTTCAGGTTATGTCTTACGTGCATATAGAAAGTTGAAACTTTCTCTCACTCTTTCCAACTCACTCTTTCCCTTTCGCGACTGTATGAATGTGTGTGTGCGTGTGCGTGATTATGTTTAGACCTTAGTTTTGTGCTTAGAATAGCTAATAAAGTCTTGTCCATATATTTGAAAAGATAAATCTTCCTGTGTCGTGTTTGCACATTTAATGTCTTGTACTGTTCGATTTAAAGTTACCTTGCTAAGACATAGTGTTTCACTATAGATTTGGTTATAATTACGGCCCGTTCAAATGAACTCTAAGCGAGTCATTTGCTCGGTTCAGTGATTCGGTTCCATAGATTCATTGCAAATCAATGAATCATTTCCCTTTGAGCTAAATTGGCCTTCGGCCCCCTTTAATACATTTTATGTATATTATTATATGTTGCATTTGCTACAGGCCCTACAGGTAGAAATCCCATAGATGTGTATTTTATTACATTTTATCCCCTGAGAAACTCTCTGTACGGACATGTATACATTGGATTGATATTAAAGTTCCCATAGTCTGTAATTTTATCCCTTAAAACTCGTCTTAGATCATCAAAATGACACATTTAAACGTTTTTCCTTGAAAAAAATTCTTTATGACTTAAAATACCTTGAATGTAACTCTACACCCTTGCTTCATTTAGTACTCGGTATATACTACCGGTATTATGAATATGCAAATGATCCACTCGTTGATGATCCCACATTCACCTTATTGGTTGAAACGCCAGCGATTTCAAACCTTGTTTTTGAGACTGTCTTTAGTTCACTGCAGTTTTAAGGGGATTTATGATTGCATGGTTTGTCTTAAAGCACATTAAAACACCACATAGACAACATTTAAAAGCTTGATTTTCACCACAGGGGGACTTAAATAACTTTACTGTACTTGAAGTGCGCAGCAAGCACTCGGACACCACAAGTATCAGATCGGGACTCTCTATGGTCAATATTCAATGACTCTGATCGGATTAGGGGAACAAAAAACGTGACATCCCAACTTCTCAGTATCAATGTTCCCTCTCATCACAGTTTTTCTCATCTTTTCAGGTGAGCTTCTGGTTGGTGCGGGAAATCCTCACCGCTCAAACGCTGAAGATCCGTGCTGAGATCCTGAGCCACTTTGTCAAGATCGCAAAGGTACTTTTATGAACAGTTATTTTCAATACTCTTATTGTATTAATAATAAAAAGGCTAGAAAAGATCACTAATACACCAAAATGTATTGCCAATACATCATTCTTTATGTATCACAATATCAAATTCATCAGTTTATTCAAGGATACGAGTATATGTAAATGTTATTCTAACCAACTACATTCCCCATCATGCAATGCTGCCTTAAATTTGGCCACAACTAGGATCACAAGTGGACGACACTAAATGCATGCGGGGTCTAAAAAATGTGTCCACTTTCCACCATCGAAAACACATTCGACCGGATCGCTTTCATACACTCATGTGGTCGAGTGTGTTCAAACAGACGCAACACACTGTCTACTCTACACCTACTGACCTAATGAGTGACATTATGGGAAGAGCGTTAGCCGGACAGGATTTAAACTTTGGCGGCTGAAGACCCAAGTTTGACTTACAGCATTCGGCTGGTCATCTCTGGCCGTGTTCAGTGTTTGATAAGTTACTCTAAAAAAGTAATTAATTACTAGTTACTAATTACCTCTTCAACAGTGTAATTAGATTACTGTACTAATTACACTCTCTAAAAAGTATTTAATTACTTTTAATTACTTTCAAAATCCCATATCAATCTCAACCAGCTGAATAATACAAGGATAGACATGAATTTGTTTTAATTCTTTCAAATAAATACTATAAAATTGCATGAATTATCCTTAAACAGACCAAGGTGGAGAAGGGTACATTATAAAAACATACTTTTTAACATCAGACAATACATTTTGATGTTAAACCCACTATTGTTTTACAGTATGTCTGATCTCACACTTTTTTCACACATACTTTACAATAATTCATACGAATTTGTATGAGTGTGGTCGTACTATTTACTGTAGACACCTCATAAAACGCATACGAATCGCTGTGAGATCGGATTATACACAGTATTTGCCTCAATTACATCAGAAGTAACTGTAATTAAATTACAGATAAATTAAGAGTAATCCCTTACTTTACATTTTCAAGGGAAAAGTAATTAAATTACAGTAATGAATTACTTTGTAATTAATTAGTTACACCCAACACTGGGCGTGTTCATTTGTAAATTGCACAAGCTGATTTTGTCCATTAGATCAAAAGTAAAAAAAACAAAAAAAAAACACACACATTTACCCACCTATAGACCCTCCCCTCAAAGAAACCAAGACAGAAGTGATTGAAAATGGACAAACTCGTCCACTTGTGATCCGATCGACCAGAACGCATCTTAATACCAAGTGTAAACCGGGCCTTGAAGGAAGCACACAGAGCTAAAGAGCAATTAGGTCTGTATTAGATGTACTGAGAAACACCACTCTAATGATGATGAATTGCTGCAGTTGTGCATGTTGTGAGTCTGTCCAACTTCGACGGCTCACCTCATTAGTGTGGACTACAGATTATTATACAGTATGTTCCTACTTTGAAATGAGGTGCCATTAAAGTCGGTTGGCACACTCTAAGCGATCAACTAAGTTTTATATAACTATGCATACATTTTCCTTTATGTACTTCATTAAGCTCTTCAAGTAATGGATATTTGAAGTCCAGATAATTACGATATATAGAATGTGTTCTAATAAACACACACACATTCCCCCCATTTGAGTAGTGCTGATTATTTTTTCAAATTTACTTTATATGGTTTGGAAAGCTTTGGTCGCACTATACACTGTAAAAAAAATATTGTTGGATTAACTTAAAAAAGTAAGTAACCTGGTTGCCTTAATTTTAAGTTGATTGAACTGGAAAAAGTGAGTTAATACAATGAAGGAGAATGATTTAATCATCAGAAACTCAAAATAATAAGTTATCTCAACTAAATAAATTATTATGAAGTTGATTTGACAAAAGAAAATATGTTGTGATAACAAATCTTGAAAATATTTTTTTACAGTCACTGTAAAAAAATATTGATGGTTTAACTTAAAAAAGTAAGTAACCTGGTTGCCTTAAAAATTTAAGTTCATTGAACTGGAAAAAGTGAGTTAATACAATGAAGGAGATTAATTTAACCACCATAAACTCAAAATTATATGTTATCTGAACTAAATAAATTATTTAAGTTGATTTGACAAAAGAAAAATGTTGTGATAACTACACTGTAAAAAAATATTGTTGGTTTAACTTAAAGTAAGTAACCTGGGTTGCCTTAAAATTTTAAGTTGATTGAACTGGAAAAAGTGAGTTAATACAATGAAGGAGATTAAAAACTCAAAATAATAAGTCATCTCAACTAAATAAAATATTATAAAGTTGATTTGACAAAAGAAAATATGTTGTGATAACAAATCTTGAAAATATTTTTTTTATAGTGTAGAAATCCTACATTAGGGATAATGATTTAGCAGCAGTTATATTTTAATATATATTAGACACTTAATTTTGTTTTAATAACTTATAACAATAACACTGATAATGACTCTGACTCTGTTTGTCCAACCTTTTGTTGGTTTTTCATCCGGATAATCTTGCTCTCAAAAAAAGTAAACTCATCAAAACAAGCCACGTCAATGAAGCGGCTCGAATATCAGGACCCGTGAGCCATCCTTCAGATATCTCGTGACTAAATCTCAGAGGAACCCTTGCTGACAGAACAAAAGCTGAGCAAAACACTCCGATTGTAGTCATGGAGTCGATTCGGCTGTGCCAGATTTGCTCAAAGCAGTTTTCCATCATTTGTTGGGGCTTCATTGTGGGAGTAATGATGAAAGCAGGTCTGTATCTATCTGAAGGTCACTGTTTTTTAATGGACCGCGTCCAATCAGAGAGCAGTAAAGGGAGTTTTGAGTGTGGGCGGTGTCTGTGACATCATCTAACCTAACAAACAGACAGTAGTACTAAATTTTCTCTATTTAAACAAATTGCAACCTAGTCTTTTATGAAGTGAGAACGTTTCATTACATGCATTTAATAGCAAAAATCAAATGCAACCAGTAAAACGGAAGTGGTTGCTGTATAAATATACTCTTTGACTCTTTAAACAGCTTTATTGTGGTTTTCTGAACTGTATAGCAATTCACCACTTGCTTTCTATGTGTGCAGAAACTTCTAGAGCTGAATAACCTTCATTCTATGGTGTCGGTGGTTTCGGCACTGCAAAGCGCTCCCATCTTTAGATTGAGCAAGACCTGGGCGGTAAGACAAACTTATTTGATGACACTTATTAAATAATGACTTTATTGAATGAATCTGAGGCTGTCCTCGAGGAGAGGATGGTTTCTGTCCCCACAATATAGCTAAATAAAGCCAGACTCTTTGGCTACTTCTTCATAATATCTGAATTATTAAAATGTGTTGCTCATATATCATGGTAAGTATGTTTTCTGCACTTTGCCCACTTAGTCCTGTAATTATTTTTTCCCTGCTCACTTTGAAACTGAGTTTAAAATGGAAAATTATTCTCTAGAATTGTAACTTTGTGGTGGAAAGAGACGTGGAATCCAAACATAACACTTCTCTCATCATTTTCTATACTGTGTGGTTTTCAATAAGTGTTGATTGCAGAAAAAATTAGTAATAACTATTGATGCACCCACATGAAAGTTTGAACCAAAACTGAAGTTCTGAACAAACCCGAGCTTGTTTTAAAGTAAAGCTCATTCAGTGTGTATCAATAAATTCAATAAAAACTGTAAAATTGCTAAATATTTTTACAAATCAAAATAAACATTTTTGATTTGAATGTGTTCTAAAATGTAATTTTATTCCTGTGATCAAAGCTGAACTTTCAGCATCATTACTCCAGTCTTCAGTGTCACATGATCCTTCAGAAATCATGATAATACAATGATTTGATGCTCAATACGCATTTTTGATTATTATCATCAATGTTTCAAACAGTTAATATTTTTGTGTAAATCATGACAGACTTTTTCTGGATTATTGGTTAAATAGAAAGTTCAGAAGAACAGCATTTACTTGAAATATAAATCTTTTGTAACATTATAAATGTCATTTTTGATTACTTTAGTGCATCCTTGCTGAATAAAAGTATTAATTTCTAAAAAAAAAAAAAAAAAAATAAAATTCCCACACTAAAGGAACACGATGTAAGCTTGTTTCCACCACCGAATAGATTTTTTTTTAAAAAAAGATAATAGCTACTTTTTTTCCCCTCACAATTGTGAATTTACATCTATAACTCGCAATCACAATTTTGAGAAACAAAGTCAGAAATGTGAGATATAAACTTGCAATTGCTAGTTATAAAGTCAAAATTTTTTGATATAAACTCGCAATTACCTTTTTTTTATTATTATTCAGTGGCGTAAACAATCTTCCATAAAAAAATTGAGACAATTTACCAGCAGGATTATTTTTATCGGTCTCTATATTTTGCATAATTTCCTTAAATCTGTTTTTGTTTTGTCAGACCGTTTCTTGTATTTTATTCGTCATTGCTTGCATCATGGAAACCTAACAGGGAGGGTCAGGCTGTCGTTCTTATGCAGTATTAAATTAAATTAAATTAAATTATGCATTGTGTTGTAATTCCTAAAAATAATTACATTTGGAATGGCGAGATTCGATTTGTCCTTTGAGCGCTTCATGATGACTTGTTTACTGGTGGATGCTGATCATGCTGTTCTTTCTGCCACTATCGATCAAGACGCTTGACCTTTTCACTGTTAGCATAAAACACTGATTTTCCTCTCATATGGTCTTGATCTCGGTTTTTTTTGCCACTATTTGTTGTAGAAGACGGCTTCAGGGAATGTTAAAGCCAGATTACTCACTTCACAGCTCGATGTATCCAGTGCTTTTGTTTTAATCTGGCAACATGCAGAAGCTTTAGAGAGTTTTACTGGTTAAAAACAAAATGTCTTTTGGCACTCGCCGTTGGACCCTCTTCACATCCGAGGCCAGATGACCACTTCCCCTAAAAATGACCAGATGTTTGAAATATGGAGAGAAATTTTGCTCTTAGGAAATGTTCATCATTTAAAATAGATTCAATAATTTCCTGTACTTTCTTTCAATGACCTTTAAAGTATTAGAAACTTATTTCCCACTTGATTTTGGCCACTGCTTTCAAAACCCGTTGATTGGCCTCTCTGTCCGCTGCTGTCTTCGAAAGGATGGAAAACATGATTTTTATTCAGATTTGCATTCTGGTTCAGGAGACAATACTGTAGTTGTTGAAAGTCTGTAGCAATCTGCAGATTTTGTGCAGTCGGAAATTCAGAATTGACAGATTTAACAGAAAATCGAGTAGTGTGTGATGAGAACAGACTCAAGTTGGAGGATATCAAAATATGTTCGATATTTTGAGCCGGTTTGAGAATGCATCGAAGTGTCATTTCATGCATAACAATAGCCTAAATATTTTTGACTCATCACCATAGAAAGTCTACCGCATCCAAATGCACTTACAGAGTCACTTCAGCCGGGAAAATCAGTGTTTCAGGCACAACACTATAGAATTTGCAACAGCTAAGCATTGATGTCACTGAAACTCAATGATATGAAATCCTGCAACATATCCGCGTAACGGCACTGAATATCTTCCATAGCTTTGCACCCAAGTAGCAGTGCTCCACCCCAATATAGTCCCAAGTAAATATCTACTTTGGAAATCGCCTAGTCTTTGTACTCGTTGTGAAAACGCAGGCCACAAGAAGTAATTATTTTTTTGGATCACTTTTACTCACGACATGCTATCCGGAAACATAGGATTCCATTCATTATGCTAAGCTAAGCTAGCCAAACTAAGACAATGCATGCATTGAGACAAAAATGCGATTGCCCGCCTATCTAAATGTAGGGGAGAGGTTAAATAACCCCTATTTCAAAAAACGTTGGCGTGTTCCTTTAATGATTTTTTAGCTCCAGGTAGTGTTGTCAAAAAACTCGGTACTTCGGTACCAAGTCGGTACTAAAAAAAAAAAAAATGTTACGGTACCAGCTTTTCTAGGTACCGAGTACCAGGTTAATCCAGTTCTGTTCTAGACGCGATGTCTGAAACGTGCACAGTTGCGTCCTCTTTAACGCTGATATGGCTCTCTCTCTCTGAATCCACTTGTTGACACGAAAGGAGGAAAGAGCCACATATGGAAATATTTTGGATTAGGCTAATGTCACGTTGCCATAAGAGGCCGATTACATGCAAATTCGCAATTTCAAATATAGGCGCGATTCGCGCTCATAATAAAAACTCGTTGGCGTTGCATAGCAACGACAGACGCCGCGTGAGAGCAAGCGCTTTGGAAAGAATAAGCACGCGCAAAAATATAATTAAAAAACACGCGCGACATGTGACCGGCCTCTAAAGTGCTTTCGGGGTAGTTTTACGAGTACATGAGCACAGTAGTATCTACCCGACACCAGAGTACTGGTATTAGTATTGTCATTTAATGTCAGTGCCAGTACTAGGCGTATTCTTGCCTTTATAACTCAGCAGGTTTAAAAAGCCTTTTTAAAATTAAATATGAATGCAGTTTTAGATTAAATAAAAGGACAGTCAAGTCAAATAAAACATGTTTTATGGTAATGCTACAAAGATACCATTCATTAGTTATCAACACATTGAGTGAACAATATATTTTTACAACATTAATTAATGTTTGAAAATGTTATTTATTACAAACACCTGATTGTTCATGTTTGTTCACTTAATTCATTGTGCATTAAATAAATAATGGATTAAAACTTTAAAAATGTGTTAGTGTATACTATTGTTTATTTTAGGTCATTTTATCTAATCTTTTTCTAAAGTGTTTATAATACAAATGTACAGTTTCCATACTTGTAACCGTGATAAACACTTAAATATATGTAGATTTAAACTAAGCTTTGGTACCGAAATTGGTACCGAGAACCGTGAATTTTAACTGGTATTGGTACCGAATACTGAAATTTTGGTACCGTGACAACACTAGCTCCAGGTTTAGTTCAGTGATGCTTACATCTGCATTGGCTATTGATGATGCCAAGATCAACTTTGCAGGGAATGTTTATAGCTCTGTCCATCCACCCTCAGAGGAACACCAGGGACACTTTGCTCTTTAGAAACCGTTCCTCAGCCGCTGAGAGTGTCCGTGGCGCCGGAGGTTTGGCGTTGGTCAATGTGACGTGGATGAGAGATTCATTTATGTACAGCAGAAGAACTAAGAACGTATCTGATATAATGCGAAGCCCAGATTCGTTTGCAAAACGCATGGGATAGTACATAAAATATGATGTCAGGGGAACAGCACAAATTTGAAATAATGATTGATTGTTGTTACAGCCATTGATATCCTTATTAAAAGCAAGCAAGCATCACTGTTGTTGTTGCTCATACTTACACTAGGAAAGATGCAACAGGTTTCAAAGGACAAGCAATCCACACTTAAAGGGATAGTTCAGCCAAAAATGTAAATTAGCCAATGATGTACTCACCCTCAAGCCTTCCTATGTGTATGACTTTCTTCTTTCAGAAGAAAACAATCAAAGCTCTTCCTAGCGTTATAATGGCAGTGAATGGAGGATAAAATTTCGAAGCCCAAAATAAGTGCATCCATAAACAACAAACTCAAGCCCCTCCATCATTTCTCTTTATAAATTCTTGTTTTAGACTTCTAATTCATGAATGGTGTTTTGTTTTGCTCGTCAACACGTCATGCGTCGGGTCAAGGGTCACTCTTCGACGCGTACGTCGTCTGTCGACGCTAGCTATTTTAGGCCCTGTTTACACGAGAACGCTCGCGGGTGAAAACGTACAAATATTTTATTGGATTTGTCTTTCATTTACACGGTGACGGCGTTTTTGGAGCTTAAAAACGCAAAAAAGTGAAACCGCCCTCCAGAGTGGGAATCTTAAAAACGCTCCACCGCCGCGTTCCCGTGTAAACGGTAAAAACGCAAAAGTCTGCTACACAGTGAGGGCTGTACGCAGGCGCGCGGACTTGGTGTTGTTGTAGTATGCACTCTTAGCCGCCTGGAGTGCATACTACATTGAATTTCACACACTTTTGCGTCACCATGCACGCGGATTTCCCACACAAAACGCTCTTCTCAACGCAGAATAAAAAATGATAACGCAACGCCACTTTTGCGTTTTCTCTTCAGAATCGTTTCCGTGTAAACATAGCCTTAGTCGATGAAGTTCACTAGCAATTCGATTATTTTTATACTGCTATAGTTTTCATTGATAG